ATTTACAAACTCATTGTATACAATCAATAGTTTGTTGTGTAAATACTGTGCACAGTTAATTTAACTACAAACATTAAAAATTCCTAAATTTGTTAGTGTAAGCCTCCCCAAAATCTAGCGAGGGAAGGTCCATGAGTTTGAGATAAAGACCATAACTAAATGAAGGCAAATATATCTCAAATTCATAAAAAATTATCATCTTTTGCATTATGGAAGTAATAATGGATGATTAGCAATAATAAAGCTAACGAGAGAGAGAGAGAGAGAGAGAGAGAGAGAGGAGAGAGAGAGAGAGAGAGAGAGAGAGAGAGAGAGAGAGAGAGAGAGAGAGAGAGAGAGAGAGAGAGGAGAGAGAGAGAGAGAGAGAGAAGGGAGAGGAGGGAGAGAGAGAGAGAGAGAGAGAGAGAAGAGAGAGGAGAGAGAGAGAGAGAGAGAGAGAAGAGAGAAGAGAGAGAGAGAGAGAGAAGAAAGAGAAAGAGAGAGAAGGAGGAGAGAGAGAGAGAGAGAGAGAGAGAGAGAGAGAGGAGAGGGAGAGAGAAGAGAGAGAGAGAGAGAGAGAAGAGAGAGAGAGAGAGAGAGGGAGAGAGAGAGAGAGAGAGAGAGAGAGAGGAAGAGGAAGGAGAGAGAGAGAGAGAGAGAGAGAGAGAGAGAGAGAGAAGAGAAGAGAGAGAGTACGAGAGAGAGAAAGAGAGAGAGACAGACAGGAGAGAGAGACAGAGAGAGAGAGAGAGAGACAGAAGAGAGAGAGAGACAGACAGAGAGAGTGAGCGAGCGAGCCAGTGAGAGCAGGACAGAGAGAATATCTTACTGTTTTCCGGAGAAGACCTGCAGAGCCTCCTTAAGTTCATTGTACACAGAGAAAAGGAAGCTTTGTGGCAGCTGGAGGGACTGAGCTTGATTCTGGATCTGAAAGATAGCAATCAATACATGTCCTTCTGGTACAATAACTATTCCTGACAATCAGCAGAAACTTACTTTACGATATAAATTACTTTTGGAAAAATCCTCAAGTTTGGGCAGTTAGAATCTATCAACTGATGACAAAAGACCTTTTTCAAAACCTGCCTTCTATCCTTCCTGTCTTCTTCATTTCCATAAAAAAGAGAACGCAAAAATATCAAGAACAAAAGCCTGAGAATTCTATCCATCAAGAACTGTTATTACTAATGACAACACAACCTCTTTGCCACCTGCTGGGAATAGTATGAGTGAGAAAGGATAAGTTAGTAAAGCAAGGTAAATCATGTGATGCTCTAATTATACAATCTTCACCTGCAATACAATTTTAATGATGACTTTTGTAAAACTCATTTATTAAATAATTTCATCTTGTTTTGTGGAATGGTTTCTTATCATTCATATCTTTTTCAATATGTTGTCCCTGCCACAACAATATTTTTTTATGTAGTGATACTCTATTTTATTGTGATTTTATTGGACCAAACATGCAGCTGGATCTATTTAAGTTTTTATCTCATGCACTGTCTGATAATTTTGATTTTGTATTAACCTTTTTCTTAGGCATGCAATGTGATTGGACTGAAATGAAACAAAATAAACCCCATATACCGTGCAATAAATGACAATGCTAAAATATTTTAAACCTTGGTGATGTAAACCTGAGATTTAAGGCTAAGATAAATGTGCTGGGATTTAGCAAGTATAATTTAACTTGTTGATTAGTTAAGATAATCTAAAAAGGACAAATATGGCATACATCTACAGACACATTGAATTTGTAATCCTTTATCAGTTTTCTCAATATTTCTTATATGGAAGCAGTGAACCAAGATCGCACACTATCTGGAAGCTCAGAGTGAACCCACATGAATGAAAACAACTGAACAGAAGCATAAAAATAAAAAAATCTAAACTTCTACAGGCACAAAAACTTGGGAGTGTTTCACTGTACCTGGAAGTGATGATGAGAATGAGTGTAGTGTGAGTAAAGGCACTATATGTTAGAGTGATGTGGACATCCCAGCCCTAAGTGAGACTTCAGTTCAAAGGAAGGGTTTACTGCAAAAATTAGAGAGAGGAGAGACAAGGTCAGGAAGGAATGAGGGACTTAGTGAAGCTCCTTTTTTAAGCAATTTTGTAGAATGGAGAATACATATTTCTGACTATACAACAGGAAAACTGGCATGCACGCATAAGTGAAAGTAATTAACTGAAAGATGTCTTGCACTGCAAGGGATTAACCGAATTGTATCTTCAAACTCAAGAGAGTATATAGAAGTTTTTGTAATACATTATTATTCAACATATATGTGGAAGAAAATTGTGGCTTACTTGTACAAGTGTGAATGTGTTCTTAAAGTAATCTATATAAAAAGATCAGAAACCTTTAAAGATAGTTTAGTAAAAAATAAAGCTCAGTTAAAAAAAAGACGATGATGGTGATGATGACAAAAAATCAACAAATTAATATAAACTGTACAGGAAATATCACACACAAAATGCTACAGCAAAAATAACATAGATGTTACAAAGACTAAAGGATACAGAAAGATTTGTGAATGAGCGAAGAAAGCGTAAGTATGTGACTTGACATCCATAACCCCCTGGACCCGGATGACGTGATCACGTCAAGGATAAACTTAGGCAGCTACCTGGGTGATATGATGATTCCGTCAACCGGTAAAAGGACTGCACCCGTGGACACGAACAAAGCGAATGCCAGGGTGACAGAAAAGACTCGCTATGAGTCCACAAACCTCTTGGAGCGTGATTTAACTCGTTTGGCACTTAGAAGGGGGCTTTAGCATTATTCCCATCGATAAATGAATGTGGAATGTTACATGCGTAAGCAATGACTGGAAAAATGCTGGCTCCAGGGAGGACACCATTTCCATGATGTGCACCGTATTCCTGGCGCTGTGCAGTGGTGCAGGTTGTATTACGTAAAATTGAAAATTACCAAAAAATTAGATATATGATACATATAACCAAATGTTCCTTTTTTTTTTTTTTTTTTTTTTTGTACTGAGCTATTTACTACATAGAGAGATGATATGGAGTCTGTGCAAGGAAAATAAGCAATTACCATCTGGATAAAGCAAATCAAAAGACAATTATGAACATCGGAAAATCACGATAAAGCTAAAAAAGTTTACGCAAAATAACTTTTCAAAGGGGAGGCACAGAGTCTTGTCACCGCTCATGGTGTTCGTGTGCGCCTGGCTTACACGCCGCACGCCCGGGATGCTGGCCACTTACATAACCCATTGCCCAGGGTTTTCAGCTCCGTGATTTCCGTCATGCAACCGGATCCAAGGGGATAAATTGAAAACTAGAGATGTAAAAGGGTGGAACACAAAGCATACTTCAGGTAAAATGAATGTGTAAAATAACGCTATGGAGAGAATGTTGATGAAGCTGATGCCAAAAATTCAAGCAAGCCTACTCATTTTCCTGTGAGAGTAGAATCAAGAAATCCTAATCACATCCCTATGAAGGTAGAACCATGTGGAAAATATTATCTGTGAGGAGGGATAGAAGGCATAAAGGGAATTCACAAAGGAAATATTCTTTAGGTCCCTCATCCTATTACATCATATTCCCTAATATCTTGACAGTATTTTAAAGACTTCAAACCTTATCAAAGATTTAATAAGCTGAGACTTTCAAACATCATATGGCAATGATGAATGGCATCTCGACGGACCATCACCTGCCCTTAGAAAGTTCACTGCATTTCAAACTACAACAGCATTTACTTCCCTAATGTCGTCAAGTTTGTATGGAAATGACAAATAAAACTACATAATATTCATTACTCTTCAATGTAATAAAGTACTTTTTTACAGAGCTTGCAACTAACCTGTGCAATGAGAGTGTGGTGGAGCGTAGTAAGAAGCAGTGGAGACACAGACCCCCCTGGAGTCATAGCTCCCCCACATGACTTGCAGGACCTCGATCACTTGCCTGTGCTACTGCCGATGACACAAGAGTCTCGAACGTCAAGTACTCAGTGTCATTGCCTCAGCGTCTATGCAAAATGAAATTACACATCAAAATACAGAAACATTTCTCCTCTAGCAAGAAATTACTCTACAATGATGATAATGATCAAAATTAAGGGGGAAAAAAAAAAGATATAGGAAAACCTTAGACAAAAGCAATGAATAAATAAATAAATTCATTAAACGTAAATAATGAAATCTAAATAAAACTTGACGGTAAAGTATGAATGTTCAAACTAATTCTGTCATTGAAAATAAATTACAAATGATTACATGTATGGCATGATGGGGGTGTTCTGGGGAAGAGCCGGCTGTGTCCAGCGGCTTCTGGCTTTTCTGTTCCGCTTCTTCACTCTCCAGGGCATGTCTCAACCATTCCTCCTCCACCTGAGATTTTGGCCTTGTTAAAACATTGTATCAAGTATTATATTATCTTTCTTTTCATGCAGTAAACTACATCTTTGTACTTTCCTAGTGTGAAGGTCTAGGAAAATGAATATCAAGGTGAAAAGTCTTGCTACAAATCATTAGGAACCATAATAATTGTAAAATAATATATGGAAATAAATCTACTAAGTGGGACTGCACTTCAGATAGAGATAGCATATCAAAGGACAAAAACAATAACACCAATTAAATGTTTGTGGCCCTCTAGAATGAACCTTTGTCATGCACTAAATACCTCTTGCATGAGAATGAAACAGGACAGGACTCCTACACAAGGAAAGACCTTTACAAGTTACACTAGCCTCTTGGGGATGCGAGCTGCTCATTTGGGAGTCACTGTAGGAAGGTGGTCATACAGGGTGCTCTCAGAGTGCGCTGTCCCTCGACTGCTCTCCCGATTGCTGGAGAGATTGTGTTGTTGCTGGAAATAGGGGTAATTATGGTGCGAGGCTTGGGTGGGTATTGCAGGTGGGGCTGAGAGACTACCCCCCCTTGCTGGTAGCGGTGTGGCTGGGGGGCTGGCGGGCGAGGGTGGCTGGTGTTGATGTCTGGGTGGTGCGAGGAATTGCTCCCGTGGCCCCTGGACGTCCCCAGGGCTCAGGCTAAGGTTCTTCACGTTTCGGTACAATGCCTGGAGAGCAAAGGCCAGGATGCATTCAAGGGTTCAAATGGGACCAAAGTACAGGGTATGGCTTATGATAAAATAGAAGGAGCAGTAATTTTACCGGCAACTGGATCATATATATATGTCCAGTTTTAAATGGAGTTTGGAAATAAATGACATGTTTTGAAGTAAGAAACACAGTGCCATTTCATCAAAAGCTGTATAACACTTATCACTTATAGAAAATTAAGAAAGTCATATATTTTCTGGTCTATTTTCTTCAGAAACACAATGATGAACAGACATGAACTTCAAAATACCTTCAGTCATAGTAATGAGAATTCAGCAAAGAAAGAATGCCCCTTTCTCTCAGGAGTTCACTTGACATGACTTTTCATGTCTATACTATAAAATTTTGTATCTTGAAGTATAATGATATTCATCCTTTTGTTTGTCCTATTACAATCTAGTTTAGAAGAGAATTAGACACATCTTCGTATTTCTGGCATGGCATAAATGAACTGTCTTTTAAGTTCATACAAGGGTCTTCAATAGCCACACCTAATATGACAGAAACTTGAAAGCAAAGCATGAAAGAGGAAAAAAGAAAAGAAGAGAAGGAACAAAACAAAAAAAGACATTACCCTGCTGTCTTCATCTTCAGAAGTGAGTCCACTGTCACTGACTTCGGACCCTGAAAGGCCTGCTGCACTTATGTTCTCCTGGGGAATATCAGAGAAACCTAGTTATAAACATTGATACAGAGGAAGCATGGATTTGAATTGTGTACTGGAAGGAAGCAAAAGAAGAAAGAAATGAAAAGCGAGAAAAAGTGTATCAAACCAATGACTGCAATATCAAAAATTTCAAGCATAACTCTGGCACCTAATCATTGGAAGATAAAGAGAAAGAAAAAAAAGAAAAATCCTTCATTCATATCTACTTGTGAAGCTATACAAAAATTTGGCAGAAGCCAGTAATGTGGCTTTTTCAACACGCATTGGTAGTTTGCCTGACTCTTTCCGTACTTTAAGCATAACTCTGGGCACCTAATCATTGGAAGATGAAAAGAAGAAAAAGAAGAAGAAAAAATCCTTCGCTTGTATCTATATGTGAAGCTAAATGAGCCAATGGTATGGTATATAAGCATGATCCTCAAGTCCATGCAGTGCAGCCATGGCATGATAGGATGTCATACATGTTCAATGGGTTAATCAGCAGAACATTTTAGTTTGCAAATAATGATACTTGATAACTCATCCAATATCATCCTAAAATCAGTACCTGGGGGAGTATGTTATGTCGATCTGCCTGTGAAGTAGAGTGGCTTCTCCAGGAGGTGTCCGCAGGGGCAGGGCAGCGAGAAGTTACTGTTCTCATTATTGATCCCCCTGTTACTGCTATTCATCCTGTGATAATAAATAAAAGTAAATATATTAGTAACATAGGAATATTACTATCATACTTCACATGAAGACAGCTATTTAATATTTTCACAAGTATCTGCTACTAGTCATCATCTTATAGCTTATATGTGGATGTTTATTCATAACTCTGTACCATTAAAAGCATTTCCAAACCCTTTATTAGAATTTCGTAACTAAATGTACAAATAATTACACAGAATACAAGGAGCAGTTTCTTTTAAGATAATATGATTGAGAGACCATCTAATGAGATACAAGTAGAAGGAAGACAAATCAATATTTACCCATGGTTTGAGCCATGAGGCTGTGTTGCCAGATCTTGCAACAGTGCAACAGCCACATGCTGGTCTGTATTGACTGTGATCTGTGATGCATGACGGAATAACTGTAGAAGGAACTCTGGGTGATTGGCGTGTTTTCGCATCAGTGCTTCTGCTTCCCTCAGAACCTCAACTGCAACAGCTCCAGCACCATCGCTATTGGGGTACATTGATGGGAGGTGAGTCATTTCTTTTATAAAAAGTATTCTAAAATATAATGTCTATTCAATAAATAAGATTTCAATCTATATAAAGAGAAAAAAGCATTACTGGGGGAAACAAATTCAAGAAATTCCTAATTATAACTTGAACTATTTGATACTGGGAGTGAAAGTAAATACAAGCATCCACCTGAGGTTTGCTTTGCCATCTTTTAAAACATAAATAGGATTACAAACTCTTAGTCACCAATGAGCCACTTAGTAGGCCAAACCAGCCTCCTCTATTTTTTTAATTCCTTGATTTTTTTTACAATTATCATCCCAGTAGTGATGATAATAGTATTAGAAAACAAAAATCATAGGATGTTGCACACAGGCCTAGTAAGATTCCTTAATTACTAAATGTTTATCAAGCCATTACTGTGTGTAAAAAAAACAACATAATACTGTCTTTAACCCCTACAATCCAGAAGATGTGAACATCATGTCATGAAAAAATTTGGCTTGAGGGGCAAGTGACATGAACATGCCATCAGGGGAAAATCTGGCTGTAGGCTGTGGTCATTTGAACTTGCTTTTGTGAGCGTTTTGCCTGAAGGCTACGGAGATGGGAATGACTTGCCGCAAGTGCACAAAGCTCTTGAAGGGTGATAAGAATAAACTGGTGTTTAGGATGGGGCTTTTGCATTATTTCCATTGATAAATGGATGTGGAATGTTATATCCGTGAACCATGACTGGAGGAGTGCGAGTTTGCCTGCTGTGACCATCAGCACAGATTGTATTACAGAAAATTGAATATCAAGAAAAACAAACAAACAAACAAAAAAATACACACAAAGCAGAATATTACTAATTGTTATCATTACTGCACTGTGTTATGGACTACCTAGAGAGATGATAAGAGTCTGTGCAAGGAAAACAGTCTATTACAATTTGGATAAAGCAAATCAAATGAAAAATATATACATTGTATAAAAGCTAAACATGCTTATACAGAAAAAGAGAAAGTAACATTGCAAAGGGGAAGCATAGTGTCTTGTCACCACACAATGAAGTGTCTCGATCCAATGGGTTAAACAGACAGGAAGTACCACACTAAACATGACCTACCTGTCGCTTCCATTGCCACGTGAGGAGTTGTAGTTGACAGAGGCTTGCTCTCTTGCTGCTGAGGATCCAGATACTCTTGGGATGTTCGTCTCATGTGACCACCATCCCCCTGTGGAGGCAAATTTGAATCAAGTTTGCGAAGACCATGTATTTCACTGGGAAGAAATGGGTTTCCAACTAAATATTCAAACCAAATTTACATGTTTAAATAAATCAAAAACTGTGTTCATGTTCTGCACAGTTACAGTTTTCCTGTGAGACCAATCACCTACAATGCAATTACTGAATTAATTTTATTCATTTTGATGACGATTTCTCTTTAATTTGTAATTCCTTATATGTGAAGAAAGGTTAAGAATGATTTCTGACTAGATTCACTATAAACAGCTAAAGGTGATCCGCAATCCCACACCTATTTTACTATAATCTTTCTTTTGGTATCACGTAATACTCATTGACAAATCAGTCTAATCTAATAGGAAGTTTTGATGGACATCCCCCTTGAATTCATTCCACTGAATCAACTACAACCCCATAAAAAAATACAAACAGGAAGGCTGCTATACTGCGTTTGTTGTGAAATCAACTGATGTTTTTTTTCGGATCTGAGGAGCTACATCCACTCAAAAGTGGGTTTAGTCTCTTTAAAGCTTTATTTCCTAAAAAACAAACAAAAAACAACTGTTGTGTTGTGATCAAAAGCATAAAAAATGTGGTGCTCAGATAGAATGCCATTGTGACATTATCCAGGTTTCCATGGCATTGTCAAAACTTCTAGACCCATAATTTCCAATATGATGATTAAATTTATGATATGATTCCAACAAACAAGGTATGACAAAACACTAAGAATTATTGTTCTGCTCGGGTCATTATCTTTAAACACTGATAAAAAATAATTATCTATATAATGCCATTAGGGTATTTACTATATTATATGCAATTCTGCTAGCATACTTATAGAGCTAAAGGGGAAGATTTATAGACATGTTCCACAAAATCCCCCTTATGTAAAACCAGTTGAAAGATAAGAGGGTTCACTGTGAGTAAATACACAATATAATATGTGTAACTGAAGAATACTTCAACCAAATTGTGATATAACAAGCAAAATAAGAATCACACATGTCATCTTTTCAAAAATTTGTACTCATTAATCCTTAGAAAAAAATCTGACACTGCTGTTTATATTTACACAAATTCACAATTTAGCATGAGCATATGTTATTTGATATAATACCTTGTTTATTACGGTTATTTGTCTTGTGCTTATTTTGTCCATGGATGTGTTGTCTGTTTGAAGAGACAGGGTTTCTGACCCGTGGATTTGCACCTCTGGAATTGTTGATGCGAGGGTTGCTCATCCTAGCGCGTGGTCCGCTGTTGCTGCTTGTGTTGTTATTGTGGCCAACGGCTACATTAAACCTCTTGTCTTCCATCCTGCTATTATCTCCAGACTTGAAGGGGGATAAAAGAGAGACTTTAATAATTATTTCAATAATTTTTAAGGGGTTCTTTATCATCACTGTATATTGCACAACTACCTGAAATTCTTATTGCTTTTGATAACAAACCTCATACCATACTACTGAAGCAGAGCATGTATAAAGATTACATAATGGTCATAAACTTGTAGGTAGCAAACTTGTGTAAAATCCTTCCTAACCTGTTGATGGGTGAGAGCACCTGTAGTCGTGGTCCCTGCAACACAAGCAGTAGAAACTGGATGTTCACTAGTGTTGCTTTTAGTGGCTGTAGAGAGGAGATTCTGCCGAGAATAGCTTCGGAAATTGTCCCAATAATTATTAGCGCGTGTTCCTGGGGGGACCTGTGAGATAAAGGGTTAATCTTTGAATATCTGTTTCCCTGAAAATATAAATGATGTGACTTCATAACTTGACAGAATATAAAAATGTGAGAATGAAGAAATAGACAAAAAAGTCATGAAGGAGAATAAAAATGGGGGCAGGGGGGAATGTACGGAGAGAAAGAATAGGG